CAAAAAAAAAAAAAAGATTCATTAGTGAAAAGAAAAATTTTAGTGGGTGGCAACTGGCAACTTGGCATGCTCGACTGTAGCGTGTTCCTATAAAAACCCTGTGAAAGCCCCCTACTTTGACCTAACTCACTCATTTCACAGAAAGGAGAAAATGGCCCCTAAAAAACCCTCTTCCCACAAGAAGAAAGTGAAGAACGGCGATCGGATTCAGCCTCCTCCGGTGACGAAAGTGGTGGAGAAAAAATCCAGAGGCGCCGCCCAGGATATTGGGTCGGTTCCCAATTCGGATCTGGGCGACTACAGGCTGCCGCCTGTACCCAAAACCCCCAAACGCTCATCCAAACGCGCCCGCGACGATGAACTCCCGAAGACTGACGGCAAGAAGGAGAAGACCGTGGAGGCGGCAAAATCCTACGGCGGTTTCATCACCAGGCTGTGGAGCGACGAGGACGAGGTAACCCTGCTGGAAGGGCTAATCGCCTTCAGGGCCGCCCCGAACGCCGAAATGGCTGACTTTTACGATTACATCAAGGGGAATCTGAAGTTCGAGTACTCGAGGGAGCAACTGAGGAGCAAGGTGAGTAGGTTGAAGAAGAAGTACTTGAATGCCCTCAAGAAGGGCAAGAATGGCGAGGATCCTGTCTTCTCGAATCCCCACGAGGATAGGCTGTTTGGACTTTCCAAGACAATATGGGGTGGCTCTGGAAGCAACACCGTCCAAAAGGGCCAAAATTCGAAAGGCATTGTCTTCAAAGAGAAGGAGGCTACGGACGCCAAAAAGTTGAAGAAAATGAAGAACATGAGCAAGGATGATGGAGGAAGAACCTACCCGAACCCGCACAAACAGGAAATTTATGAGCTTTCAGAAAAATTATGGGGGTCTGAGGAAGAAGAAAACAAAGCCAGTGCCAATGGGGTCCATGCCAAGGATGCGATAAATAGTGAGAGGATGAAGTCTTTCTTGGTGGGAGCAGAGTTGAAAGGTTTTGACAAAAGGACTTTGACGGCCTCAAACCACTTGTTTGAGGAGGGGCAAATGGAGGATGAATTCAAATCAACATGGAAGAAACTAAAGATGGAGGAGACAGAGGTCTTTTCGAAGCATTCACAGATAAAGTTAAAGCAGGCGAAGCATCTCCAGCAATCCATGAACTCCTAGTTCTATTATTCTGTTAGGATTTTTGGCTTTCTTCTGTGATGATGGCTCCACTGGGTAGTTTGCGATGTGTTTATGCAGTCTTTCTGGTTTTGTTAATATGTCTAGGGTGGTGCTATCTATTATTTTCTGACTTGAACCATGTTTATCCTTTTAAGTTGCGTTGTACTCTATTTTGTGGCGGAACGCTGTATGTCCCGAGTATATCGGGGCTCCTTGGTATCTAACTACATTATCAGTTTGCTTGTCAATTTTTATGTCTGAATTCAATTGATTAGCCACATACATTGTATCAATTTACTATGAACAACTTGGCTCAAAGAGTATCCAACTCCGTCACAAGTGTTTTTGGTTTTGTGCTGTCATGTCTTTCACATAGTATGGTTTGGCTTTCGGTGGTTTCTGTTGTCATGTCTCTTGTCTCTCACATATTGTTTCATTTGTTTGGGATTAGGAGCTGCAAAAGTCATTGGCGTGTTCTGCTTTTCTTGCTGTAGAATTATGTAAATGAGCCGACAATGTTTGTTCCTCTTTTACAAATTGCACTCTTGCCGATGTTGGGGCCTGTTTGGCCTGCTCGGCTCGGCCAACTGAATGCAAAATTCTAATAAACTTTATGATAGGTGTAAACCTTGGGAATTTTGGCTCAAAAGGTGTGATTGAGGGTAGCATTAGTGGAATATCAGCACCCACTAAGACTCAAAAGGCATTGCTAATTGCTCAAGCACTTGGAGATATTTTATTTGCTTATCCTTACTCCATGATTGTTCTTCACATACAGGTATCCCAAATATTCTTGTTCTCATACTCTTTAAGACTTTTAATATTTTATTCTCACAACACTTTTGAGAAAATGGGAAGGACACCCTGAGGTCACCTCCACCGGAAGGCGTAACCATGAAACGGGCAGCAGTAATCTCGATGTACACTTGGTTGTGTAGAATATTAGCATAATTTCAAGTTTACTATTTTATGTCTTCTCCATATGTTGAATTTAAAAAAGTACTTGTGTTTGAAGGGAATGTGTAAAAATGTGTTAAGTAAGAAGCAAAACAACTGATTCTTAACATTTAATTGGAAAATGAGTGCATTTTCAAGCTAATGATTCTGATTTTGCATTTTATAATCAGAATCTATAAGATAGGAAGTACAATATCAGATTTATACTTGTGGTTCTGATATGTCCTCTACTATGCACAAATAGAAGTAAATGTACAACTTTCACTACTTTTGTTTTCTCTTAATCCACTCACGTTTATTAGAAAACATGGTTAACTCGTCATGTTCTTACAAGTCTTCAGTTATATACTTAACCAGTATTTGCAACTATGGATAAATGATTGACAGCACGTTTGTCAACAAACAATACATTCTCAAACTTCCCCTTTTGCCAAAGGTTGTGCTTTAGGACAGCCTATGTTTCCTCAACCACTGCAATTGCCATGGTTCTCCCCTATTTCAATCAGGTCCTTGGAGTTAGTGGGGCCATCACATTTTGGCCCTGGCTATATATTTCCCGGTCGAGAAGTGGTTGAGGCAGAAGAAACCCGGAACCTGGACAGGAAAATGGATTGTCCAGCACACAGAGGATGGAGAATGAAGTTATATTCACCCCAACAATTATTATCATAATAGACGTGATTCGTGCATAACTTGTCGCATGCAACGCAACTCCGATAATTAGATTCAGTATGGTTTATTTTGAGAAATAAAGGGAGTGAATCAAATGAAAGCCTCACTTCTAAGGGCAATCGAGTGCATGGCTCGTGCACGAAGAAGTCGCAACCATCAATGCAACTGAACGAAGGGCTCAATAAAATCGGCAGCCCACAAAAATTGCACAAGCAACGCTTATGGTTTTCACCTTTTTTGTTTGGTTTATCTCTGAAGAAGATTGCTGTCTCCTCGGCTTGTTGCTCACTGCCCAAGATTTCCCCTTTCCAATATCGTCTGTCAAAGAATTCGAGGTTACTTACCAGGATAGGTTACGAAGATCCTCCGAACGGCGCCGTCTTGCTCTCTTCTTCTCGTTCGTCCGCCTCTCGGGTAAGTCCCTGAAAATTCTAGCTCATGGGGTTGTTGATATTGAGCTGAGTAAATGTGTAAATTAGTGTGGTTTGGAAATGAGATTAAATAACAACTCGGAGCATTCAAATTTCATGGGATGTCATTGAATAATATTCATTGTTCTTTTATCTTCTGGCATGGGCATGGAGATGCTTGATTGATGAAATTAAGGTTTGCTTAGCTGCTATACTTAGCCTTGGTTGTGATTCATAGCTGTAGATGTGAGATTGTTGTGTATGCAAGATGATTTTTTTTTTCCTTTTCCCAATTAGTTTTGTGATGATATATAGTCGATTATAGCAGGATGGTTAGAAAATGTGCGTATGAAAATGACTTTCAATGACCCACTGATCGTATATCTTTCCTCTGTGTTTGCCCATGTTTTTTATTCTTTTGTCTTAATTCCGTGGAGTTCATTATCCGAATGTACTCATAGGGACATCACACGAAATTTCAGGCGGTGGAGTGTGCTGCTGGGAATGTGCAGAGGCAAATAAGCAGTCTTGAACCTCTCTTTGTTACGGTAAGCCTATTCCCGAGGAAATAATCGAGAAACCTGTTGTTGCATGTCTACCCGAGAAAGATGTTGGGAAAAATCCTCAATGTCTTAGCTGTCAGAAAAAAAGGCCATTCTTTGCGCCACTTGTTCAGGTTCAGGCTTATACGTGGACTCCATCAGAGCCAAGGGATAATTGTGAAAGTTTGATGTTTAGGTAACCTCCTAACAGGAATTTTAATAAAGAAGTTTTCTAGTTTGGTCTTTTGCTGATTGTGATTATAGTTCTCTAAGTAATGGTACATGCTAGAGTTGTATCGCATATGAAGAGATGAGTGTTAGTCTGCTTGTGGAATTAAGAGCTTTTTTGGTGAAGTAAATAATATTATGTGCAGTCTTGAATGTTTTGCCTACAAAATCAGCCACCATTGCTTTTCCCACCTTTTCTTTGCCTTTTGAGTGATAAATGCAACTGTTTTGGTTATTTGTTTTTGGGTAAAGAATTCAATGAAACAAGAACCATATGGAAAACCGCTAAATAAGACAACTTTCTCTATATTTCATTTATTCTCAAAATACTTGACTGCCAAAGTACCTTAAATATCTTTGAACTAATAGATTTGAAAGTTCAGAAGTTACTAGGCGAAAAATCACCAACCCCTAAAATTGCAATTATTTATGAGTGAAATCGTTACTCTGAACATATGGTGCATTAAGAAGTAGGTTTAGGAATTCATTAAGACCTTATAGGACACATTAGGCATATCAATTAGCTTTTAAAAATTCTGAATGTGGCATGGTAGAGTAATGTTTTGACTAAAGTGATGAGAATTTTAACCTATCCTGTATTAACATTCAGGTTGTGGAGGAACGGGGAATACAATGTGCTCGGAATGTGGTGGCCAGGGTCACATTTGAACTGGCTTCGTGGACAAGGTTTGCTTCTCACCACACTAGTTGCGTCCTAGGATGTAAAGAGCTACTTCCAAAAATGCAATTATATGAATAGAATTCGTCAAGATATTTATGCTTTTATATTAGATGTTTATTGTATGCATCTACACCTTGTATGCATCATATGCTCTTTGTGCCTACCGACATTGCAACTCTTCCACTCAAACGAACTGAAAATTACTAAGCAAAACCTTATACAGAATCAAGAGTCACAAGAAATAGCACATCCTTCAGTTGAATCATTCGTTCTAAACCTATGAAAAGACATTGTAAGATTTGTTCCTTGCCATTTGCATGCCTTATCGTTTTCTGACTACATATGCACATTCTGTTGATAAAACTAATAGAAAAAGTTTAGACTCCGTCTCGTTGTGTGTTGTTTATAGTTCTTCAGCTGTAAGAAAAATTCCTCAGTGACTGTTCGTTACACTTGTGATCTTTGATGCTGCCTGATGTAAGCTGGGATAGTATCATCAAATTGCTGGCTTTGTGGATTTTCTGCATAAGCAACATAATATGCCATAACACTAGCTTGTATCCATGCCATTGCCACTCTATTCTGCATTTCACAGTACACAGCAGTAATTAGGTTCACAGTTCGTACATTACATACGTACCTTTTTTTTTTCCCAAAAGCACAGAAAACGGATGATTTCGAAAAGAAGTATATTCCCAGAAATCTCACGCACCGTGAAATACCCAACCAAGAAGGTGTACACACACACTTCTGTTGCATACCTCCCGTGAACAAAAAGCGCCCAAACCCCCCCAACTAGCCCAGACACTGCCCCACCTGCAACCCCACACAGGAAGCAAAACGAGCTCGTGAGGTCACGGTCGATCAGGCCTTCCATCCCGGCCCGCCCGAACATCTCCCACGTGTCGGCTGAGGCCCGCAAGATCCCCTTCCCGTAGACCCCGACATGCACAAATCCCCACCGGTTCCCGTATGCTACAGCCCTCGACGAGGCCCCCATGCAGCATCCCGCGCACGAGAACATGAACTCGTCTGAATCCCCCGAGGCAGACCCCACGACTCGACCAGCAGCTCGGGCAGCCGTCAGAGATGGCACAAGAATCGAGCCTGCACAGATGCTCCCCATCGAGTTCCGGGCTGTGCCTTTCACGACCGGCCCGAAATCGAGCTCCACCCCACATGCGAACTGCATGTACTTGACGTGCGAGACTGCAACTTGCATCATGTTCTTAATTATCTGCATTGTCCACGTAAGGCTTCCGAGGATGAGGAAAACGAATAAAGGTTCGAGTTTTGTTTTTCCGGTTGTTGCAGCATTTCCTAAACCGGACATCAGTAGGGAGGAAAAGAGAATGCTAGCCGAGACTGATATGATTACGGCCGATT